TGCATCTAGTGGAAAACCTGCTATTAAAGAGATTGTTAAACAATATGGCAAAAATATTACAATTATAGTAGCAATAGCTCAAAAATACCTAAGAAACCTATCAGAGAACTGCTCCAAATCTGGCGAAAAATATTACCAGAGAATGCTCCAAATTCGGTGAAAAAAAAATGAATGAAAATTTATTAAAAAGCTGAAACTAAATTAGAGTAGGTTCCTTAAGTAGTAAATTACCAGAGAACTGCTTCAAACCTGGTGAAGACAATTACATTACCAAAGAACTGCTCAAAAATTCCTAAGAAATCTACTAATTAACTGCTTCAAATCTGGTGAAAAAAATTATATTACTAGAGAACTGCTCCAAATCTGGTAAAAAAAATTACATTACCAGATAACAGCTCCAAATCTAGCGAAGAAAATTACATTATCAGATAATAGCTCAAAATTCCTAAGAAAACTATCAGAGAACTACTCCAAATCTGGTGAAAAATATTATTAGAGAATTGCTTCAAATCTGGCAAAGAAAATTACCTGAAAACCGCTCCAAATCTGGTGAAGAAATTGTCAGAGAACTGCTCAAACCCGATGAAAAAATTACATTAACAGAGAACTACTCCAAGACATCGAAGAGAACTGCTAGGAAACAACACCAAATTTCAAAGATAGCTCTTTGACATTTTAAAGCTTCTCTCTGATAGAACTACCAGAGAATAACTCCAAAACGTCAAGGAAATCTCCGAAAATCAACTTAAAAGATTCAAGTTAGTAAAAAAAAAAAAAAAAAAAACTACATTAAAAAAACAAGTTTTCTATGCAATTTAATGTTTATTATTTAGTTTAGCTGACATATATTATATTCTAAATCAGTATAAATTTGAATGTGATATACAGTATAACGTATATATTATTTATTTATATTTAAACTTCCTTTAACTTTTACTACATAAGGCCACACAAAGTTAATTTCTTGGTTTTCTGGTTTTCATAACATAAATTTTTTTTTCAAAAATCTATAAATTTTGATCTGGAGTTCTGGTGATCTTAGTGTAGTAGTTAGGTTGCCAGACCACTATGCAAGAGGTCTGGGGTTTAAATCCTACTGTCGATGAATTTGAATAATTACTCAGACCTTTGTATTCAACTTACAGTAAACCCTGTCCGTTTCTGGGGTTGTAACTCTGTAAATCACATTGCACCAATATTATCTGGATATTAGAAGTATGACGGAACGTTTGGTGAGATGTAATATTATATGAATAAATCTTGATAGGATCTATGGGCAGAAGACCTGTATGGTAGAAATCCCAAGTAGGTAAAGTAGTACAGCTTTCAACGGTTATATTAGCTAATGCTTGATCCAGAAAGGAAACTATGATCAAAAGATGCAGATCGAGTCAGGTGCATATAAATCTGTTCCACAGAGAGGATCAGTAACATCAACCTGGTTTGGCGGCTAACTGAATTGAGAGGATCTGCCTCATAAAATATCTAAGAAAATAGAATACAGAAAACTGGTAGAGAGCCACGATAGGAACTGGGGTTGTATGAACATCTACAAGGGTCTAATCTAGATAATCCCATAAAATAGGTATGGGCCGCTCTAGTGAGTTTGCTTCAAGATTAACTGGCTCTGCAATACTAGCAATACATTTGGTATAGTGTATCCCAAGAGGACCTAAGCTGACTTAGGTAAATAGATCCATAATGAGCTAGCTGGCTTAAGTGGTTAGATGTTGTGGTGACATTAGGTTTGAATCTGTATAGGTTAATGAACAGAGTGTTTAAATAGGTAACTCACAGGCAGGTTACAGGTATGGCAGCATAGTGTAGAACCAATCAGGTAGTCTAATTACCTATATGGCAGACTACTTAAATTAGACAATGACTAAAGTTGTACGTGTGGCTTGTTGTACACTCTTCAAGTAATTACAAACAGTAGAGATTATCAATGTATAATTCTGTAAGCAAATACTAATAAAATCCCATCGGCAATGTAAGCTACCTTAAATGTAAAAAAAAAATAAAAATAAATTTTGACTCTGCCAGATTATGTAAACCAAGAAATTAACTTTGTGTAGCCTAATATGAAATCGTTTTTTTTTTTTTTTTTTTTTTTTTTTTTTTATATATGATACTAGGTAAAATACTTTACAAATACAGATAATTTATCAAGAATGCTAGCTAAAATTTTAATAATTATATTTTAATTCTTTCTTCATCTTGACAGAAATCAAAATATGATATTGAATGTCTAATCCAATTTCTACAATCCTCCCTAGTTACTATATCAAATACATCATCTATTCTTTTCAAAATTGTTTCGTAATCAGCAAGATGGTGTCTTGCAACTAGATTTTTTACTTTTGAAAAGGCCTTTTCTATGGGATTAAGGAATGGGAAATATGTTAGCAAAAATAAGAATTTATGTAGTATTTTTTCAAATAATTTTTTAACTAGTTTCGCATAGTGAATTTTTGTATTGTCTATTATAAAGATTCTGCTGCAGTTAGGAGAAAGCGATTCTATAAGATCATTCAAAAATTTTTTAAAAACCAAACCTGTGGTCATACCCAGGTTTGACGAAACCTTAATGATACCGTTTCTATCTATTGCTACTATAATTGTAATATTTTTGCCATATTGTTTAACAATCTCTTTAATAGCAGGTTTTCCACTAGATGCA